GTACGGAGACCTGTACGATTTCGTCAACTTAGTGAGTTTGATAGGGGCCGTATAGTGGGACTTCGGGAAGCTGGACTTTCTTTTCGGGCAATTGCAGTTAGAGTGCAAAGAAGTGTAGACACTATGGTTAGGTGTTGTCAGGCATGGCTTCGAGAAGGCCGTACGCAAAGAGCAAGGGGCACTGGACGCCGCCGTAGAACAACAGACCGTGAAGATCGCCGCCTAAGATTATTGGCCTTAAGGGACCGTTTCTCCACTACCAGGTCCATTGCAAATGAATGGTTTGCAGAACACGGAAGACCTATTGGCATGCGAAGTGTTTACCGACGAATGAGAAGTTTTGGCTTGTTTTCAAACCGGCCACACTGGGTCCTCCCTTTAACTCGAGAACACCGACGTAATCGCCTTGATTGGTGCAGACAACGGTCACTCTGGGATCAGGAATGGAACAGTATTGTCTTTAGTGACGAGTCTCGATTTTGTTTAGGCATGCACGATGGTCGTGCCAGGGTTAGAAGGCGACGTGGTGAAAGGAGGAATCCACAGTTTTTTGTTGGAAGACATGTTCATCACACTGTTGGAGTTATGGTTTGGGGTGCTATAGCTTATGGTTCCAGGTCACCTTTAATCTTCATCAGAGGTAACATGAACGCGCAGCGTTATATCCACGAAGTTCTAGAACCCCATCTTTTACCCTATCTTGACACCCTGGCAGATCCAACTTTCCAACAAGATAATGCCCGACCACATGTTGCAAGAGTCACAATAGACTTCTTTCAACATAATGATGTCACATTGTTACCATGGCCACCAAGATCTCCCGACTTATCCCCAATTGAGCACGCGTGGGATATGATGGGTAGGAGATTGCTCAATTTGCAACGCCCTTCTCAGACTCTAGAAGCACTTCGAGAGGAGTTGGTGGTTGCCTGGAATGAAATACCACAGGAGGATATTGACCACCTGATCAGAAGCATGCCTAGGCGCGTTGGAGAATGCGTAGCACATCAGGGTGCATCCACACATTATTAAAGGTCAAAGGGCTTTAAAGCAGTGCAATCATTTTGAAATTTTTATCATTTACTTATTATGCTTCATTAAGTACTTATACAAAATTTTATTAAAATAAAACCATTTAAACTGGGTGTTCGGATTTATATGTCACTTAGTATATATATATATATAGGGCCAACTTCACCAACAACAGTCCGTTATTCTCCACCTATAGGGTAACAGACCGTCAGATACAGCGAATGAGCTTCAAGTTCCAATCAACAAATTCTAGCAACCAATAGCTATGAAATTTTGAAAACAAAATACTGTCAAAATATGAGATGACAACATGTTATTGAAACATCACCAGCTTATTGAATATTAAGAAATTACATATAATTCAGTCAAAATTTTAAGAAATGTTTGATTTTTGAATTAAATTCATGTTTTAATTACTATTGTTGATTTTGTATTCATGTTTATATTATTTTCTTCAATTGATATGTGATACTGGGTGTTTTTTCCTATAAAGCTCTTGCAGATAGCCATTAAGCACCTGCTGGATGACAGGCTCTACCAAAAGATATTGCTCGTTTCCAAACATTCATTCATTTACTTGCCGTTCATCAGAACCATTATGGCACCTTAGATTTATATTCCCACAAAACCATTCAGGTTTTTTGATATCCATAAATCCATAAAGTTGAATATTTTTCGTTGTTCAGGAACTGAACAAACATCCATACTATATTCACAGCGATTAAGAAATTCCCAAATATGTTATATGCCTTAAAGCTACCACCAGTAAACCTAAAACCTGCAAAAAACTACAAATTTGCCATATTTTTCTATTTTCACGAGTACACATTCTAGGTTATATTTATATTAGACATTATTTTTCGATTCCCTGCACTCCGCTGATCCCCGACCCCGGCGAACTACGTCATTCTTTTTAAAGCAAACCAACCAACTTCACTACAGGTAAGTTCGTTTGATCTGTAATTATATTCCGCCTCGTCTCGTAATTAAGAATATTTTAGATGTTTAAAGAATTTAGCAATAATAATAAATATTCATAAAGTTTATTATCCCTAAAAACGAAAATATACTTAACAAACTTGGAACAAAACGAACTGTTAACCATTAACTGAAGGAAACAAGAAAAAAGGTTAATTCTATAACCTAAATCTAAATATACTAAGTAACATATAAATCCGAACACCCAGTTTAAATGGTTTTATTTTAATAAAATTTTGTATAAGTACTTAATGAAGCATAATAAGTAAATGATAAAAATTTCATAATGATTGCACTGCTTTAAAGCCCTTTGACCTTTAATAATGTGTGGATGCACCCTGATGTGCTACGCATTCTCCAACGCGCCTAGGCATGCTTCTGATCAGGTGGTCAATGTCCTCCTGTGGTATCTCATTCCAGGCAACCACCAACTCCTCTCGAAGTGCTTCTAGGGTCTGAGGAGGACGTTGCAAATTGAGCAATCTCCTACCCATCATATCCCACACGTGCTCAATTGGGGATAAGTCGGGAGATCTTGGTGGCCATGGTAACAATGTGTCATCATTATGTTGAAAGAAGTCTATTGTGACTCTTGCAACATGTGGTCGGGCATTATCTTGTTGGAAAGTTGGATCTGCCAGGGTGTCAAGATAGGATAAAAGATGGGGTTCTAGAGCTTCGTGGATATAACGCTGCGCGTTCATGTTACCTCTGATGAAGATTAAAGGTGACCTGGAACCATAAGCTATAGCACCCTAAACCATAACTCCAACAGTGTGATGAACATGTCTTTCAACAAAAAACTGTGGATTCCTCCTTTCACCACGTCGCCTTCTAACCCTTACATCGACGTAATCGCCTTGAGTGGTGCAGACAACGGTCACTCTGGGATCAGGAATGGAACAGTATTGTCTTTAGTGACGAGTCTCGATTTTGTTTAGGCATTCACGATGGTCGTGCCAGGGTTAGAAGGCGACATGGTGAAAGGAGGAATCCACAGTTTTTTGTTGAAGGACATGTTCATCACACTGTTGGAGTTATGGTTTGGGGTGCTATAGCTTATGGTTCCAGGTCACCTTTAATCTTCATCAGAGGTAACATGAACGCGCAGCGTTATATCCACGAAGTTCTAGAACCCTATCTTTTACCCTATCTTGACACCCTGGCAGATCCAACTTTCCAACAAGATAATGCCCGACCACATGTTGCAAGAGTCACAATAGACTTCTTTCAACATAATGATGTCACATTGTTACCATGGCCACCAAGATCTCCCGACTTATCCCCAATTGAGCACGTGTGGGATATGATGGGTGGGAGATTGCTCAATTTGCAACGTCCTCCTCAGACTCTAGAAGCACTTCGAGAGGAGTTGGTGGTTGCCTGGAATGAGATACCACAGGAGGACATTGACCACCTGATCAGAAGCATGCCTAGGCGCGTTGGAGAATGCGTAGCACATCAGGGTGCATCCACACAGGGCTTTAAAGCAGTGCAATCATTTTGCAATTTTTATCATTTACTTATTATGCTTCATTAAGTACTTATACAAAATTTTATTAAAATAAAACCATTTAAACTGGGTGTTCGGATTTATATGTCACTTAGTATACATAAGTATAAACAGAGAATGACGTAGTTCGCCGGGGTCGGGGATCAGCGGAGTGCAGCGAATCGAAAAATCGATATCTTCAAAATGCGTGTGGTTGGATAGGAAGTGGAAGGTACTACAATATTCTTAATTACGAAACGAGGCGGAATACAATCAACTTTGTTCTTTGCTACTTTTTCATGAATTACTTGCGTCATTCTGCCTTTCAGTGTAAATAACGGCAAAATCATAATACATTCCTCGAATGAACATATTCGCAAACTTCCTCATGTAGTAAGTGTATTGATATAGCATTGTGTTCTCTGTATGCATTTTAATCGATTATTTTGCCGGCTAGGAGAATGTAATGGGATATCCGGAGGCATTGCACCGTCGCATATTAGCAACCGACATGTTTCATCAGTTTGAACATGCGAGCTGCATACCCAATTTCGAACGATGTGCTGAAAGACGAGACTGTTCTGGCTTTGCCTACACTTTCAATCAAATTGAGCAAAGTTGGCGGATAGTTTTATCGCGTATACAAGGTGATTCGAAAAAATCGTGACAAATACGTTGACTCCGTGTTTCTAACGGAATTCTGTTATCAGTTAGGTTATGTTCGGTTTGCTTAAAAAAGCCTGAGGCATATAAGCTCGACAGCGTTGCCCTTATGCTCTCAATCGGTCGCTTCTCCTCCCACCACGGTGATGCTTGCAGCATTTCGTCATGGTGGCCAGCGTAGCGCAAAGTTTTCATACCAAAGGTATTTAATCATCCATAAAAACAAATATACTTTTCAAAGAAAGCTCGCACCTCCATGATTATACGGGACTAAGAACCAATTTTGCTAAGATAAGCATAACTTAACAACTCACGGAAAGTCGCCTGGATACGCTGGTACACGAATATACAATAATTTACCACAATCGATTAAACAAATCGATAACGTTATGCCCTTTAAAAACCACCAAAGAAGTTGCTCTGATCTAACACCTATAGCATAGATGAGTTCCTAGTATTTTTGCTGGACCCGAAATAATATAATTGCCAGGAGGTCCATTAACTTGGTATTCACATGCACGTTTTAACTTTTCTGTATCCAGTTTGTTTGTTGTTCTTTCATTTCGTCTTTAGGTTATATTAATATTTATTTTAATATCACACAAAAACTAAACGGAGAGTTGTGGGGTGATGTTCTACAAGCACAGAGGCTTTCATTAATAGACTAAAAGACATCATTTTGAAAGCCACTATAACTAGGCCTATACCCAGTAAAAAAAAGAAATTAAAACCTTGGATCACTGGTGGGCTCCTAATATCTATTCGAAACAGAAACCTCATTAAAAGGGAATGTGCACTAAATCCCAGCAATTTCGTAGTTTTAAACAGGTATCAGGAATACAGGAAATTTTTAAGTAAACTTATCAAGAAAGTGAAGTATAATTATTACAAATATTTAACACAAAAAAAGTTGGATAACCCCAGAAAATTGTGGAATATGCTTAGAGAGGCCACCAATGACCAAGAGAGTAAACCAGAAATAAAATGTATCACTACCAAAACTAATTCAGAAATAACTGATAAAAAAGAAGTTGCAGATGAATTTAACAATTATTTTTGTAACATTGGTAAAAAATTAGCAAGTGAAATTACTAGAGGTACTTGGAGGAATGAAGTGCGGGAAAAAAGAGGTAATGAATCACTTTTCTTGTGTCCTGTGACGAATGATGATGTAATTAGGGAGATAACTTGTTTAAAGAATGGGGTAAAAGGCGGGGAGGATAATATTTCATCAAATATAATCAAGAAATATAAAGAAAAACTTAGTATTCCATTGGAACACATAATAAACCTAGTTTTTGGTACTGGTATTTTTCCACAAATATTAAAAAAAACCAAAGTGATACCTCTTCACAAACAAGGAGATAAAAAAGACATGAACAACTATAGACCCATTGCATTAACTAGTACAGTAAGTAAAATTATTGAGAAATGTCTGAAAAGAAAATTAATGCAGTTTTTGGAAAAGCATAAATTACTCAACTTAAATCAGTTTGGTTTCAGAGAGAATTCTAACACTGAAGTTGCACTTGTCAGGGTCACTGAGAGTATTCTGAAAGGGCTAGACCAAGGAAAAAAGGTGATGGGTATATTTTTAGATCTAAAAAAGGCATTCGACACAGTGGCACATCCAATTTTACTAGGTCGTTTGGATAATCTGGGAATAAGGGGCATTCCAAATAAACTCATAAAGTCCTATCTTTCTGGACGTGAACAAATCACAAATGTCTCCGGTCAGGAAAGTACTATTTTGAAGGTAGAATGCGGGGTGCCACAAGGTACGGTTCTCTCAACTTTGCTGTTTATAATATACATAAATGATATAATGGAACAATTAAATGATGCAAACATAACTATCTATTGCTTTGCAGATGATACGAGTATTTTAGTAAGTGGTGAAGATTGGGATTCCGTCAAATTAAAAGCTGAAAGAGCATTGCACACAATTAAAAATTGGCTAGATTTTAGTTTGCTCTCTCTAAATATTGACAAAACCAATTTTATGACTTTTTCCCTTTCCTCGCGTACTTTGCCTAATCTAAACTGCCTTAAGATTCATGACTCATATTGTGACTTTGCACCTCAGTGTGCATGTAGCAAATATATAAATAAGAAATCGAGCTTGAAATATCTAGGAATAATTATAGATGAACTTCTTACTTGGAAAGATCATGTTGATTATGTTACAACAAAGATTAGAAAACTTATTCACAAATTTTATGAATCAAGGGAAATATTAGACTTCAGAACTCTTAAAACAGTTTATTTTGCTTTAACAGAATCTGTAATTAATTATGGTTTCGTAGTTTGGGGAAATACAAGTTTAGCAACGTTATCCAAGTTACAGGTAGCTCAGAAATGGATCATAAAAATTATGCTTTTCAAACAGAAACGATATTCATCTGAACTTTTTTTTAGAGTCAGTAAAATACTGAACCTAGAGCAGCTCTATTTAAAATCACTTATAAGATTTATGATGAAATATGATTTCTACAAAGAATACTTACAGCATGGCCAAAATACAAGAAGTGCTGCTCATGCAAAAGTAAAATTGCAAAACCCTAGACACACAGCTTGCCAAACTCACGTTTACTGTATAGGTCCAAAAGTTTATAATGATGTGCCAAATAGTATTAAGAGATTGAGATATTCTACTGTTAAAAAGGAATTAACAAGATGGATTATTGATAGTCAATACGCCATTAATTATGTAATATAAAAACCTGTAGCATTAAAGGTATTAAGTTCCTAAAATTTAAGATAAAACATAATAGCTTTGAATTTGTTTGATCTATTTTTATATTTCTTTTTCTCTTTGTAAACTAGAATTGAGAACCTCAATGAAAAAGTTACACTTAACAATGTGAATGGGGTGCACACACAGTATTTTGAATACATTTGTGCATCTAAAACTATTAGCAATAGTGGGTAATTTTAAGAATAGATAGCTGGATTTAAATATTATACAATAATTGTAAAGTCTATATATTTAATATGATGTAAAAAACTGTATACATGTTGAATCTGCTGCTAATAAATAAATAAATAAATATAAATATAAAATATAAATATAAATATATTATGCATAAAGCATGTTCCTGTTCATAAGAGTTCCCTAAATTAAGTACACTAAAAAAAATTACTCAAATACAATCACGATTTTTCAATTTCGGGAAGAGAAAAAGTCACAAGGATTCAATTCAGGCAAATAAGGAGGTTATGGAAGCCTGACTAAAAAGTCTTTTATTGACATTGCTGTTCGAACCTAATAAAAGAATTTGAATTTGAATAATAACAAGTTACATTGGCCAATTTCTTACGTATTGTGACAAGAAAGAATACCTCAGAATCTGCCGCTTACATCAGCGCTTCTAGACGGCCTAAGTGCAAGTGTTGATAAATGAGGATTTATTTTTCTTGTCGGCGAGTTCGGTTGAAAACAAACGAAAGCAAATGGTCGCCTATTTCTGTCGGTTCCGTTGCCCCATTAGACGCCGTAAATCTGCCTGCTCCTGATGTGCTAATAAATTTCTCCATTCCACCAGCAACTTAACTAGAATAATAAGCGACTAAATTTTTTAACTAACCGCGCAGAAGCGTACCCCGTTGGAATACGAAATCTTTCACAGATTAGCTTATAGATGGATGAAGTACGATACTAGGATGGATCCGAAATTTATTCTAGTTTTCATTTTGATTTTCCGCACAGAACAAAGCTTTTAATATTCTTGGTAGGTATATAACAATACTGTAGATGGATATTTTTGCGATCGATATTCAGAAGTGGGATAGTCTTAAAACTGTCGAAGGCGGTATTGCGGCACTGCCTATATCTTAGTATCAGCTATAAAATCGCTATACGCTATACAATCGAGAATCATTACTATTTTGCATTGCTTGATAATATTTAGCATAAAAGACCAAAAACCGTCCAAAGTCATTTAGATTGACACGGCCAGCAAAGAAAAACCTTTTTAACATCAATGTCAGCCTGCGATGTCAATTCTCACAGCCTACTGTTAAATTCAGATATTAAATCCCTCGAACATTCCTAAAGGCAGCGTTATTCGTTTAAAATTCAAGAAGAGATCATTTCTCAAACGGCACTTATTCCCTATTTCCCAGTGTGCAAATAGTACATTCCGCGTTTGCTCGCTATGAGTGCTGTGAACATCATCAGAAGCCTCCACCTATGGAGGAATGACTCAAATACAGGACACGTCCAATGACGCATGCTTTGTTGGTTGCAGAATGCCGAGATAGTCTCTAGAGTATACTCTAAGAAGATGGGTGGTTGAGTAGCACAGTAGCAAGATTACATCTGGATGATTGTATGTATTGGTCTGCGTGTGTAATATTTGATATGCTAGAAAATTATTACTGAATATGCTTCATATGAAGTACACCAGCTGTGCCAGACAGGTTATTTGTGTTGTCATTTCTGAAGAGATGTAATGTTCAAAGTTATACATTACGATTTTTCCCGTTTTTTACGTGTTCAAAAACTTTGAGAAGCCTTACGGTAAATCAGCATAGCATCCGCGTTGTGTGTAATTAAGCCTCATCATCAGGAATGACACATAACATACAAAACATTTTCGCACTGCCTCACATCTAGGCGCTGATTTGTATTTTCTAATTGACATCGTAAAATAGATTTCTATAAAATGTAACTGACTGGAAATAAAAATTAATGTGAAATGTAATAACTTTTTTACGTTTTATAAATATTGCCCTATGTACCATATTTTTTCATTTGTTAGTTTTAGGGTGGGCTTCACCAAGGTTGTCAAATCAACAGTCCGTTATTCTCCACCTATAGGGTAACAGTCCGTTAAATACAGTGAATGAGCTTAAAGTTCCAATCAACAAATTTTAGCAACCAATAGCTATGAAATGTTGAAAACAAAATACTGTCAAAGTATGAGATGACATCTTGTCATTGAAACATCACCAGCTTATTGAATATTAAGAAATTACATATAATTCAGTCATAAAGAAATGTTTGATTTTTGAACTAAATTCATGTTTTAATTACTATTGTTGATTTTTTATTCATGTTTATATTATTTTCTTTAATTGATGTGCAATTTTACTGATTTAACATCACCACCCGTTTTTTGTTCCTATAAACCTCTTGCAGATAGCCATTAAGCACCTAGTTGATGACAGGCTCTACCAAAAAGTTCATAGATATTGCTCGATTCCAAACATTCTGTCATTTACTTGCCGTTCACCAGAACCATTATGGCACCTTAGATTGATATTCCCACAAAACCATTCAGGTCTTTTGATATCCATACATCCATAAAGTTGAATATGTTTCATTGTTCAGGAACTGAACAAACATCCACACTATATTCACAGCGATTAAGAAATTCCCAAATATATGCCTTAAAGCTACCAGCAAACCTAAAACCTGCAAAAAACTACAAATTTGCCATATTTTCTTTTTTCACGAGTACACATTCTAGGTTATATTTATAGGAGACATTATTAGAATACAGCTGATTATTGCATTTCAAGACTCATCGAGTGACATATGTGTGGGATCTGTCAACGCTTGGTCCCAGTCACAAAACATATACTCTGAAGAAGGTTTAATTCCATGCTAGTCAATGACAACACGGTGACTTGTGTGGTTATCATCGGCCATTTTGTGAGGGTGCGACAGAGTTGCCAGATTGTGCATTAATATCCCGTTTCACCCTCCTGGTCTCAGTGGAGTAAGCTCCGCCAACTTTTATATATACTCTATATATATACTCTACTATGCTTTATTCGTGGATTTTTCCCAAAATCGTTGCACAACACTTGGAAATGCAAATGAAACTTTTTATTTCTATGACGCCGCAAAATAGCTCCGTCGGTACCTCGGGTTATACATCTTGACAGTAAAGATGTTCGATAGGATCCTATATTTAGAAATATCAATACATTTCACGACTATCGTCATCTTTCGATCCGGACTGTGTCAGAAAGAGTGACTGCCATTTGGCTGCGACATTACCCTGCCAAATCAGATATATCTTTCATCATTTTCAAAGAAATTGTACAAAACCTTCAAATTTGTGAAGTTAGCGAGTATCACTTCATACGTTGTTACCAGACATGCCCAAATCATCAGTTG